CCCCAAGGATTTCATATCAGCCACACCAGCAGCGGCCATCGTCAGGCTCTCAATCCTACGGATATGAGATGCCTACACCGACGACATACAACCAGATCCTGGAAAACATCAACAAAGCTATGGTTGACCAGGTGGCTAAGCAGCTGATGGAAGGTGGACTGCTGGATGCTTTGAAAGGGTTCCGCTACCGCGGAACCCAGATGACTTACGTCACTAGATCCAGAGCCGCAACCAGGACCAAACTGGCCGCCAAAGTCGTAGCCAGCCCGAGGAGCGCCAAACGCGCACATCACCCGGAAAACGGAGCGAGGCAGAGTCCAGTCTGGTTGTCGCTCAGTCCACCAAGCGACCAGAACGAAGTGTCAGCTCGGTGGCCCACAACATTAGTATCCAGACACCAATGGAGATTCAGTCCGCACCGCCGTCATCGGACCTACCGGCCCGACAAGACGCAAGCGTTAGTGCCACGGACTTCGATCCATACAAACACGCTGAAGACCAGGGCATCAATATCCGGCCACTTCCCCACCGGGTGGTGACGGATTACATTATGGGAGCCATCCCATACCCCAGGGACAGATGGGCCCAAGTCGATGCCATGGTCCAGAATCTGCAAACCTTCGTCATCCGGTCCGGACTCGAGTAGAAATGCAGAAAAAGGAGTGGCCCCGTGCTTTCAGCATGGCGGAACACATTGATAACCGCGAGGGCTACCCAATGGTCCGTGATAATGCTCTATCGAGCATCACGGACGTCAACTTACTTGGACAGCCCGTTACCAGACCGGACTGGAACGACTTGTGCCAACTGCACATAAAGGACGATTAACTTGACGTCGTCAAATACCTGGCCCAGTTCGTCCTACCGGACGCGAACGCCAGTTTTATAATCGCAGCCTCTAGAGCCGCCATGGAAATCCCATGCAAGCCGGCCGATCACAAGGATGTCCCGGGAACGTACGCTTATTCGTACAACGGCACGATGATACGCATCTTCGCCGCTAGACTTGGACACCTACGGTGCCACTGGAAACTTGAAGTTGCCTATCGGCAGGGGAATATCATTCCTCGGTTTCTGACCCAGGTGGCCCTCGTTGGAAATCAAATTCATGAAATCGAAGCGGGAGTTAAAATCCAGAGCGCCCTGAACGTTTTCAGGAGCCGCGCCAAGGACTACCGTTATCGACATCCAACGGACTTCGACGACGGAGCGGAAGCGTTCGTTAACCGAACGGCGGCGCGGAAACTTCCAACGAAGTTTCGCACTCAACGATCCTCAACAGGATCGTCCGCACACGTCCAGACCCAGGCCGAACAGTCTGGCCCAGAAGTCCAGCCGACCAGTGCCTCCAGCCAACCACAGGATAACCAGACCGAACAGGAATTGGCGGACATGGAGGAAAGCGTCGTTGACCCACTCAACCCAGGGTTGGGCGACGGCGACCAAGCCGGACAAGGAGGGCAGGAATAGGCCAACGGCCATTCCTGCATGTCGGCCCTAGAAATGGACCGACATCGGCTGAACCAGACTTGAACACCATGGTGGGTACAACCCAACGGTTGTTACCCTCGCCCAACAAACGTGGCTTACAGCCATGTATCGTCTACCTTACCGGACCTTAATCCCTGGATCTTAACCGGATTCCCCGGATAGGCTCTGGCTTAGCGGCTGGGACCATGAATTTGGCTCGGCCATCCCAGACCATCCGACGGAGTCCACCGGACCGAACTTGGCACAAGGCCTGTTTCACCGGCATGGAAAGGATCCAGCGCCCAAAAGGCGGCGACGGCCCGCATAGAAGTTGCGACAAGCCGTGGATCGATCCTGGCCCGCATAGAAGCTGCGACAAGCCAAGGATCAGCCTGGCCCGCATAGAAGTTGCGACAAGCCAAGGCCAAGTCCTGGCCCATAGAAGTTGGACCAGGCCCGCTGTGTGTCCAACGGACCATATGCGGCTCACGAGTTTAGTTGCCATACCAGGCAACTGGGACAAGTGAGTTCGGGAGCCACATAGAAGTTGTGGTACACCCACTTTGCATGCCACGTCCAACATCCTCACCACGGACCGCCCAGAGGCCCATCCAAAAGATGCACCGCCCCGAGGCCAAACGAGGATGCTTCTAGCCAGCAGACCGACTCCTTGGTGGAAAACGCCTACCGGCGCCCACAACTTAATTTTTTGGAGTTTGGCCCGGCTTACCTGACGTTTTCGCCAGCAGCCACTTAATTTTGTTATGGCCACGGTCTCAGGGAAAATTGCCTATCTGACTCATCGGACATGGTAGCTAACTCATGGCCCACGGCCAATGAGACGGACCAGACTCAACGAGTCTGCAACTTTGGCCCGCCACACACTTTGGACCGTCGACAAAACGACTAAGTCCTTTTGACCCGCCATCAACCTTGGACCGTCGAAAAATCGACTAAGTCTTTTGGCCCGTCCAACGACGTGGCCCACCGAAAAATTGACTAAGTCTTTTGGCCCGTCCAACGACGTGGCCCACCAAAAATCGACTAAGTCTTTTGGCCCGTCCAACGACGTAGCTCATCGAAAAATGACTAAGTTTTTTGGCCCGTCCAACGACGCGGCTCATCAAAAAACGACTAAGTCCACATCGGAGAGCCAAAACCTGTTATACAGGACTCCCACGTCCCACACCAGCCGGAGGCGAGCCACATCACAATGGAACCTCGTATCCCGGCCCAGAGCATGTCAGAGACCGAGTTCGGACCGCCCCAACGGGTTTGGTCCATCATTCCACCTCGGTCCTGGGACTTAGAAATTTTTCAATTATGGCCCTCTCGGACTTAGAAGATTTTTGGACCTAGGCGCATGACCAAACCGGCATGCAAGGCCAAACCGGTCCAAGTTAGAGACCCATATGGGCCATCCAAACGGAATTGGTCCAAGCAGACTATTTTGGTCACAGGAGCACCTCTCCTGTCCAGAGGCATCACTCTGGCCCCATATGGACCGCCCAACCGGGCTTGGTCCACCATATCGAACCAGGAAGGGGACAACTTGTCCTTGCGCATGCAACCGTGCCTTCGATATACCGCACCGCTGGATTTACTCCACTGGACCCCTGTGGACATCTCTTCATGCTCCTCCAGCAGACAACGGGTCTCCTTGCGCGCCTGCTGCACTTCTTGTTGCCGTTTGTGCAGTTCTTGACGATGTTGCTCTTTCTGTTGCAACTGTCTGGCATTGGTCTCCATAATAAACATAAACTCCTCGTCAAAGCAGGCGTCCAGCTTTTCTAGATACGGTTTTATTTTAACTGGTTCGCGATCCGCAAACGCATTCTCGAACTGGGGAATCATTTTGCTGTTTTCCTTATACAGTACATGCAAACTCTGAAGTTTCTCCGGATCCATACTTTGACTGGTGATCTAACGACAGGACACACTGAAACCACTTATACATCGTCCAAAGACCGCGAAACGAATTCGCTACTTACCGCCCTCATATTCGATCGGTAGTCTCTGATGGAGAGGGCCATGGCTTCTTGCAGTTCCAAGCGAACCTCGGCCTAATTAATCACCATTAAAGCTATCGATACATCCCAGACCAAAACAACAAATGTTGATATAAACGTACCTCCAGCGTGTTTTCATCCCCGACCCTAAGTGATGACTCTCAGCATAGGTAGTCCGTTAAACGCCGTTGTGATACCAAATGGCAGTGCCTTGCCTTCTTCCGTCGCTTGTTGATACTTCAGGGCTTCCGTATTCTGCAGCCGCTGAGCATCATTCCGGCGCTGCTCAAACAGCCGCCGCAGTTCCAACATCCGGGCATGGTCGCCGTCGTCAGCGCCGCTTCGCGAATCCAGGTAGTTTTCAATGGTGGCTTCGTTCTCCAACTGCGTCCGGTAGGACGCCCGCTCCTTGGCGTCTCGTAACGCGGCTTGTTGGCGATGGACGTCGTCACGTATCTCCTGCATGATGGTCGGGGACAAGCGGTACGCGGTAATGGGATCGGTTATATACTGGCACAGCAAGGATTCGGGAATATGATACGGATTCAGCTTGCCATCGATTATAAAGCTGTCCTGGAAATTCGGAAGGTCGCCGGTTACTGCAGCGTTCCTGCCGATGAAAACGCTCCAGACTGATAATGCGATGGCCAGGACACAAAACCGATTGCAATCTCCCATTTTCATGAGAAACTTAATTTTCTATGGTACCGTAGTATGAAAAGCTGTGCCAAACAAAAAGTGGTTATGAGTATGCTGCTATGGTTGTCAATGAACTAGACAGACAGATTTTGCGCTAATATCTGCTCTGCGAGCTATTTATAGTCAAGCCTCTGTGCAAAGATTGTGTTGCCCAGCAGGATTCCTGCTGTCTGTGCAAGAGTGTGCGAGATGTAAAGAATCCGGTAGCCGATTGTTCCAGCAAATCAGGATACACTCCCAGCATAGCAACCCCTAGTGTAAAACATGCTGGACACATGCGAAAACAATGTGCAAATTAAATAAATAATTATTTATTTGTACACGGATGACCAATGGTAAATTCTGAGAGAAACTGTCCACACTTGGCGCGATAGACCTGTACATACGTCTCTTACTTTCGATTTATTCTGCAGCGTTATAAAAATTAATATCGGTCACCCTTCTCACTTCACAGCCACTGCGAGTTGCGATTGCATTTCGCACTTTGCCCTCTCTGGCCTAGAAAATTCATTTGTACAATACATGCGGCGTTTCTGGGTTGTATGCCGCTCAGGATGCACAGTTAGACCGTGAGAACCAACAGTAATATAAAGTGTAAAGCTTTAATAAAAGAAAGCTGCTCTATATTCAGCTGATTTGGGCAAGCAGACCGTCTTCGTGAGACCGCAAATCAGATAACTGGGCACTAAGGCAAAATCCATTTTTCTGCACAAAATACGACGAACTTCCTGTACGGCTATGACTGGCCAATGCCGGCACTGCCGTTTAAAAACTGATTTACCCTCGAATAACTGATTGAAACTGAGCACATAATCGAAGCACTACAAGCGTTCCAGCTGCGCTGTAAAATCTTTCAAGCTGAATAACATATCAAAATAAAGCCAAAGGCTTGCAGTTTCGAACTACGGTTGGTACACATAAGGATGGAATCTTTGCTGTTGACGTTCTTGGTTGTCATTATCGGGTCACTGTGCGCCCGCATGACGCATAGTGAAACATGCTATGCACTAAATGAGCGCTGCAGATCGTCCGTTCCGCGGGTGGAGAAGGGATCATTCCCCATGTCGGAGGCGGACATCTTGGCAACGCAGCAAAAGGCACAAGATTTTTGTCGGTATGTCATCCACCCTAATACAAACTTTGCTGTTGGCTAATATTGTGTTAGCAGCAATTTCACGGTAATTGTGCCGTTGGCCGATATTGTTTTCCTAGAAGCAGCACTGCAGCAAAATAATAACAGGACCATTCTACATATGAAATCTGTATGCAGTGACTTGAAAACCGTGCTGCTATGTAATTTCTGTCTGTACACGAATCTGGTCACTAACTTGTATGTACACAATAAGTCGCACCCAGCTATTTATTCACACCTTATTCTCATTAAGGTGTGAAAGCATATAATATTTAGTACGTATTTCCTACACAAGATTGGTTATGATACTGTACAACGGGTTTGTCCATTGACTTATCGTACGTATATAGTACGTATATATATGTTAGCGATTACGGACCTTCTTACAGAGGCAGTTTAGTCAGCCCTTTTTACTGTAGGGCAACCAATACAACTGCTTTATGCATGCAAGAGTTTGAGGAGCGTTGTGCCAGCGATCCCATGTTGACGATCTACCGTGGCGCGGGAGATTTCTACGAAAGGCACGTATTTATGGCGGAAGCCAAAATGTGCCAGCTGTCCATCAATCCCATCCGCTACGATCGTGCCCGGACCCATTGTTACCGGCAGCGCCCCAATTTCGAGAAGGACTTGTTAGCGCATCGCAGCACCTATCTGCGCATATCGCCGGACACCGCCGTCGGCAAACGCAATTTCTGCGAGTAAGAGCATTTGAATCAGAACAGTCAGTTTTATTAATTATAGGGTTTCTACATTGCGAGACTTTGGTCCACTGAACACTGCTCCAATTTAGCTCTTTTGAATTATCAATAGAAGTTCTGGAGAATGTTCGCCGGACTGCTTTTGATTAGTAGCCGAAATAGCATGTACCGTGAATTTAAGAATGTACTGTATGCTTTGTACAAAACAGTTTCTCCCGGCTTTTCAACAGGCAAAGTGCATGCAGCTTGCGCAATCGACAATATGAGCTCATTATTCTAATACGGAGTTTTGTGCAAATTTGTAGAACCTTACAAGTGACTGCCGAAAGACTGGATGGAACGGCCAAGGCGGAGTTAACGGCCAAATGTGGAGCGGAAGCGGTGACTGTTATGAAGGAGGTCGCGGACAAACTGCACGCTGCCCAGTGCGCCAGTTAATCAAAATCGCTTTAATACTCAGTATCTCTGCGTGCAGAATGAGAAAATTCAGTTGGTTGCAAGAATAAGCCTGGAAATTCAATTTTGCGAAGAATAACTATGAAAGTGTGGGAATAAGAAAGCATGTGCAGAGACAAGAATGCTTGTATTGAGGTTTAATAAGGCATACACATAGGTCACAGTTGGCGAATATTAGAAAGAACTGTTTCCTGTTGTTCCTCGTCTGGGCCTCGGTGCCGGAGCGGGACTATGTTTCGCCGGATTTTACTGAGTTAGAATAATTATCACGATGCCGAATGATGCGCAGTATTGTATTCTTAGTCAAGTATCTGTCCTCGTCTCAAGGGATAAACGGGCGCGTACTCGTATGGGATAACCGAGAGCAAACTGTCAATTTCTCTCCTGTACAGGACCTACAGGTTAGGACGAAATGGTCGCATACCCAACATATCCACATTCCGTACGCATGCAGCGCAGTGCCCTGTCCAGAAGTGGTGCCATTGCATCTCGCGGCTACAGTACCACAGCAGAATTATTATCGCAATTCGCAAACACTTTCACATGCAGCAAATACACGGCTTCGGTTTGCAGTGGTGAATAGTACAGTACAAAGTCACCAAAAATAATGCAGATCGCATTGAACGAAACTGCTCTGTAAAGAGGCACTGGAAGACAGGAATAACTTACTGGTCTACTCAGGTTCCTATTAACCGGGCAAAAAAATAATTATATCAATCAAAATAATTGTCATACAGTGCAGAAGCTAAAGCATGCCGGCATCCATCGAGAGCAGCAGCTCAATGTTAAACCTAAAAATAGCCAGCAAATCGACTTATAGTTAACATTACCAGTTGAGCAGCATCTGTGCGCTTCTTCACGGCCACGCACAAACTTACGCAGAATAAAAAAGCAACCTAATTCTCTTGAGCACTGCCGTAAGATCATAATCTCGTACCAATTATAACCCTAAAAATAACCAGCAAATTTGTCGGCTTTGGAGGTAACACTTCAGCAACTTCCAGGGCGCTTTTTCGCTATCATACACAGGCTCGCGCACATTGAAAAAGCAGCCAGCTTCTTGGTTTGCTTCATCATTATCCACAGTTATGATAACGCTGGCATAATTCCTACAGCTATACAGTATTCAAAAAACATTTTTTAGGTCTTTAACGTTGCAAATGTGCTTAGGCAATACTGTTGTGCATTGTGAACAGAATGCGACGGTTTACAATTATTGCGCTTTTGTGTTTCGCCGGTCTCGGTACGTACGTGTACGGTGTGCTGTAAATTGTGATAGTTTTGTCTGTTTGCTGTTTACTACTTAGCGGTTTAATTTAACCGTAGCGGTCCTCACAAGTTAGGTCACAGAGTTGGTGCACGGGGAAATAGCACTTGGGTCTTGAAAAGGTGTTTGCTGCCCGCAGCCCGCTTACAGATTCACGGATAACACACACAATTGCAAGTGATGTTTTCCCGTACACCGGCTAACTTGCGAGGCTCGCTAAAAATAAATGTTGACCGTTAGATTGCTAATAGTGCGATAGGAAGCTCCTTCTGACTGAAAAACAAATTTCTCTGAGCGAATTACAGACGTATTAGTTAAAATTTGGCAAGATATCGTGACACGGAAGTAACCTTTTCATTGAAGGCTCTGAAATAGCCGCTCTGGAGTGCCACTACTACTTCCACAGTGTTTTGAAGGATGACCCCACGACCCGGATGAAAACGTGCCCACTGGGCGAAGTGTGTATGACGCAGTTCACCAAGCTAACGATCGACAATGCAGGTAACGCACCTGCTGTCAGCTACAGAAATAAGGGCATCCCAACGCTGTGGAACCACAGTGCTGATATATCAATGCGACCAATCAAAAAAAAGACCGGGCTAGACTCAATCAAACTTCAAGCGATGGCAGTTACCTATTTTGTGACGCTAGTTCGTTGTGGACACATATTAATACTGTATAGCAGCGTATGCAGATCACTTACATTGACTTAGGAGTGTCCCGAGGTGGCCCGCGTCTGGGTCTTGAGCCTGAGTACTAAAAGTCTGCGTATGATTAAACACACGAAAGCAACCTAACAAATAAAACGATCAAGCTTTGTGGTCCACTGCACTGGAAATTGGAATTGTGGCCAGCTGTTTCCAATACGTTGGGCAGTCCTTGTATACTTCGATTTGTTTTGTGTTTCACTGACTTTTAGTTAATACGGTTTAATATATTGCTCACCGGTAACCTCCCAAATGGCGCACATTTGACTGCCGTGAGTCACTGTTCTCGAGTTTTAACGCATTTCGTTCACATGTTTTATGGAAACCTGAAAATAATCTGTTTAATTTTTAGGGTTGAACTTCATGAGGGCAATTATTTTTAAAAAAACGGCGATGATTTACATAGGATGATTTGTGATAACTTTGTGACCGAAATCAAGTTGCGTGCGTGAGCAAAAGAGGAAACCGTGTGCTCAAAGTGAGAGAAATATGAGACACATCGAAGGACAGCAGTCACAGCATATACTGTAAACAATTCGTGAGCAATCAATATGCAGTTACACCCGTAATATGGCAATTTAGAAGATCTGGACGTGTATAGCGACTGCGCGCAAGTCTCCGCCCAGACCACGATGGGCTGTTTCGTGAGCAAAAACAGCCAGGTGACCTGCTACTGCAACACGGAACAATGTAATATGGAACATATGTTCCCCCTACGGGAGGTCGAGGAGTTGATCTCGTCAGCACACCGTCCCATGACCAGCTGGCTCTTATTCGTCGCCATGGTGTTTGTGCTGTTACATGTAGTGCTTTCTAAAGCGCTCTGATGCATAGGTTGAAATAGTGCGTGTTATTACACAGTTTGTAATATTATTGAATGTGTTTTGTGTGTTATTAACTTCTCGAATGTGCCAGATTGAAAAAGTTGAAATCTGTTGAAAAAAGGTTATTGGAATCTATCAATTTAATAATTTCAATAAAATTAGCATTTTAATAGAATTTCTTCGTTTTTTGAGGTAAACTCTGCCGTCGACTTCGCGCTGATGATGTCACTCTACCGCTCTACGTAACGTTTTTGTCGCGGTGGTCATTACCGCGAGACGCCCTTATAAATTACACTCACTATAGAAGCACTAATAATAATACACTAATAATACACTCTCCGTGATCTTTCTGAAACAAAATTTGATTGTTGAAGTTATCATCATAAAGACTACATAGATTAGATTTTCACAAAGCTAACCAAGGTTTTAAACTGAGGAACATCTGATGGCGCATTCAAAGCCATCTCCATCAGCCCACTCCTTCCTGTCACCGGGAGGGTTGACAAAAGCCTGATCCAGAAGACAAAAATTTCTGTAACTATGTATACCTAGCTTGATTGTAGCACTCCTCAAAATATGTCTCAAATGCGGCTGAAAAATCTTGAAAAAGGGCACTGAAATATAACATCAAAAGCAAAATTCGAAACTATTCGATTAAAATGTAAAAATCCGTGCACGCAGACAGTACCCGTGCGGACCAAGAAATGTCACCCGTCACAAGTCAACGCCCGTATTTAGCCGTGCACGCAGCCATAATGCAATCTTAAATCCACTACATCAAACATCCGAAATTTATTTCGACCGTCTTAACAGTGTTTTAATGTAGGAAACAATGACAATCGTAGCGAGTCCACCGAGTATGTTAGATTGTACAGTATGGATCGCATCATCTCCATGTCTTTTTTATACGTTTTCTCTTTAACGAGGTTGACAGCGTCCATCTTTTGGTCGCGGGTTTGGTAGATGAGGATAAAGTAGGAAAGAATGGCACCAGTGACCTTAAACAAATTCGTACCCGTTTTTCAAGCAATGATCTTGAAATTTCAATTACGTTGGCAATTTAGCACGGTACATGACTGTGGGTAACATACTCTGTATGTACGAGTACATAGTTTTACCGTGATAAGATATTCCTGGCTGACAGAAAAATACCCTCCCGCGGAAACCGAGGTATTCTCTGACATGGCAATTTCCTGCTGAATCCGGGTGGCAGCTTCTTCCAAAGCCGAATCCGGATGCTCGGCAGCGATAGCTTCCAGTGAGTTGCGAATTTGTCGAGCCTAAAGGAAATTGCTAAGCATATCTTCAGTTACCGCGTGAAGCATATTTTTCGGATTTCTTACGAAACTATTCTGCGCAAAAATAGTTGTTGCTTGTTTCTGATCCCAGAACAAATACTGAGCTCAACACATTAAAATTTTGAGAAAAAATAACAACAACGAATCGCTTTTGGACATAAAAAAGTAACAAAAATAATCTTGTTAAATTAGGGAAAACAACAACTGAACAAGAAAAAATTAATATTTCTAAAATCATTTTTCTACAAAATTACGAGTATTATCTGTTTTAACGCCTTTCGGAATAAAATTGCTCGTAAATTTCGTCTAACGAATTTTGTTGTTACCCTTACTCCCCACTTACTTGTGTGCTACATTGAACGAAGATAATTAGCCGCAGAATTGCCATGAGCACATCGTTGGCGCCGGAGTAGAAGATATACATGCTAACGCTGCTTTCATCGGCTCCTTGTCGCAGAGCGAATTCCGTATCATCCTCACCATCGTCCCGTTCCGTAGGCAGGCGCATATTAAACGAGATAAAGGCCACCACCACGACCAAATCATGCGCGCAGGTAAACAGCACCAAGCCGCTGAAAATCCCGTTAAACTGCCGCAGCACACCCATGACCTTTCGACAAGACGTCCACACTAGCATTAGTTGCTGCTTTGTGGCCACCGCCCGCAGTTGACGGTGGACACTCTTCAGGGTTGCAGTGATGAGCAATACCAGCCCCAGAACGAGCATGTGCGGGGCAATCGTACTATGATTCATCAGAATACTGCAGGCAGCGCTGATAGTTTTGAAGGTGGATTGCGGCATTTTCATCCCGAACCATTTCTGAAAAAGCTCCAGAAAGTCGTCGGTGCTTTTTAGTACGGCCGGAACGGAGAGTGCCGGGCACGCCACTGTCCACAATGCACTGATCACGACAAAGGCTTTGATGGGCCACAACCGTGGCGCCACCTGCAGCGCGGCCCCTTCCAGATTGTAAATGAGTTTCTGGATGCGTTTAGCATGGATGATCATGCAGAGGCAGAGGAAGGTCGAGTGAGTGGCGTAGAAAGCCCGCTCGGGCAGCATGGCCATGCTGAAAAACTCCATGTTCGAAATGAATCGATTCTCCACCACGATCCACGAGAACAGGTCCAGGGTGGTGCATAGGCAGCGGATTCCGAGGAGGCATATGGAATACGGAAGAAAGCAGCGGCTGAACGATGGCGTCGAGATGAAGTTGGTTAGGGGAAAATATCCGCAAATTCGTAGATAGTGAAGGTACAGTTTTAGTACGCCCAGTACCGGGCGGGGTTCGGAAGGAATTTTGCTCTCTTCCGCCGCAGCCATAATTGATTTTAGAACACGTTGCAGAGGTCGCACCATCAAGGGAATAAGCTGTAAAGTCTGCCTGATGTCTTTGCGTAATACCGAGAAAGCGTGCGAAATAATTTGTACGAATACCGTTGCAAGCGAGCGCTGCGGTATCTAGCTCTTTTGAGTTGCTACCGCACAGGTGCTGGCGCAGGTTAAGGTGCGACTCACATTGCTTTCCGAACTGGCAAACATTCCAGCGTAAGCGTAGTGTGTTATCCATTAATCGGTGAGTACTCCAAGTCCAACGAGGGATTGCGGATCCAGTACGGGATGGCTGAGATCAAACAAGCACTGTGTAATGTTACACTGTTGGGAGTCTTGGGACCAGGAATCGATAATACCCGTACAAATACTAAAGTGGAAGAGATGCTGCCCGATCGGTTCATCAAACTTACTGCTTGCTCTTACCAGCAGCTACCGCGCAACATGATTTTAGGCGCTATTTGTAATCTGACTTTAGCTTCCGATCATTCTTTCTTACGTACGGGACGATCTTAGCGACTGTTAAGCTGTAGCTTACGCCTATCTTCCATCTTTAGCCCGAGAGAATGCAGAGGCTTTGGTGTTTTTTTTGTGTTAAATTTTAACAATCAAGAAGTGGTACCAGCACGTGCAAATGTTGTTGTTATAACTATAAAATACCTCATAGCTAGACCAGAATTACAGCTTATTGCCAGAAAACTCGTTCTCCCCTTTGCAGCCTCTTAATGAATGCTGCTAATTTCTCAAGTAAGGATTTTAATGCTCTTCATGCACAACGAGCTCAAAAAGAAGCTAATGTGCTTACTAGAGTTGCTCAACCCAAATTGTAAATTCAGCGCTTTGGCGAGTTTCGTGCTGTGTAGGTTCGGAAAAGATGAATCATTGTACTCGAAAGATTGCTAAACCAGCTGCGAACGGATTTGCCGGAAGCAGGAAAACACAGGGTAGCAGAACTCAATACAAGTTACAACCGTAACATTAAACATTTTTAATTCTCATATTGCCGCCAACAGGCATGCAGTTATAGTGGCCAACCAAAAGGGACCATTCATGGAAACATGATTTTAAACATCTGTAAGCTTTATGTGTACAGAGACTCATGTGCATAGCGCACAGTAGCATACCCTAGCAGTCATGAGTCTTCTATATTAATTTGGGTCACTCGATCACCTCAAAATAAATTTGCGGAAATTGACCGGAAAAATTGTCGGTTCTGCCGTACCGGGGTGTACCCGTAGAAACCCTATCAAAGTGAACGGTAAGGTTATAATTATCATCGCTGCGAGCGATACTGCTGACTCCGTTCGTACCGTAGCTTGACGTGGTCATCCCCTGCAAGACATAAAATGTACAAACCGGATTAGTGCTTCCTTTTGTTCCTGACCATCGCAAAAACATCATACCAATTTTCACGTAACGCACATAAATGCAAAGACTGCTTTTACACCAAACCAGGTTCCACCATTATTTTTCAAGTTGTAGAAATATTTAATTCTCTGTGTTTAATTTATAATTAAAATTTAATAGTAAAATTTAGTACGAGTACGTTACGTACTGTACGTATACAATTTTGGAGGTCAAACCGTTATGAAGAATAATAAGAATATATGTATGTCATGGTTTGTGCGTCACTGCGCGGGATATGTGCAGCACACCACATCCGTAAGAACAGTGAGGACAATAATCCGAAGGTCTTAGTTTTCGTTAAATTACCGGTATCTCCAGGAAAATAGTGTACCAGTTCTGAAGCGACAGTTTTACTGGTTTGGCTAAAGTGAACTTGTGTATTGGGTGGGAAATATTGTCAGATGTGAGAGTCCAGGACTCATGATGAACATCTATAGTTGATTCATATCGGTCGTTGAATGAATTATAGGAATTATAATGAGACCCCGTTTTGTCGATGGACAGTCGTAATGATGCTGTGCACCTACTTCCATCAACAGGCCACTGATTTTGAATGAAACCTGCCACCGCAACAAGATTAATTGATTGGGGAACCTGAAAAATTTGTTGTATCAGTGTTATTGTCACAGCAGTTGGTTGTACCGACTTGATTCTCATTTTATCGTTAAAATCAACGAATGATACCTGGACTGCTGTGCTGGTGCCGTCTTTCCGCCCTATCGAAACCACAAATCTGCCAAATCGAGAAAGTAACATAATTTAACTCTTAGCAAAAGTAATTGGTTGGTTATGCACTTGATCGCTTCTGGTCGTCCGGCTATGTAACTCCATCCATCGTAATATGGCCTTTTCACTTTATCGAACCTTGATATGGCGAGAAGCGTCGGCAGAGGTCTCCTCCGGTTAATGAATTTGATTGGCAACGGTTCATCAGCAAACCAAAACTGGAACAACTGATTAATTTCCTCCGCAGGCAGTATTCCCGACTGCAATGCAAAATTAAGATTACCCTTGAATTAACGCTACTCTACAAAGATTCGTCCTAATAGAGTCTTAAGCACATTCCCTGTGTTAACTTTCTCGCAACATGTTGCGGTTACGTTGTTTAAGTTCATATATCGACGAATGCCGTTATTTTACGAAGCGCGTCGCCGCGTACCGTCACCGGTCATTGCAAGCCAAATTTGTCCAGCCGTTTCCGCGTTGGTTCCAGTTAAAAGTATCACTTAGTCTCTCCTTACCTTAGATGGTCCGGCAGCGATTTCCTGGTAGGTCATAACGGGGAATCGGATCAAGTACAGCATATTACCCAATTCAGAACGCAGAGTCATAGCATCTTCTATCCGAATGGCCATCTTCACGCAGTAGCGGTTTGCCCAGCTGCGGAAACAGACATGTCTGCTCTAGACAGCTCAGAATACCGGCCGGAAAATGGAATTATGTACTTAATTAAGCACCACGCCGTTTTGGTGTGTCTACAGACTGACAAATGACAATATGATTACTGGACGCTAGCCCTTCACTTGAAGGGACTTTATACGGTATGAGCACATGCGGCACTGTCTGCCGTGTGTGCAAATCGTAACTGCATTCGTACAACGTACGCGTGGTTGCACTGTACAAATTTCCTCCAAGTGAAAGGTCTTTTGTTCAGTACTGAATTAGCAATTATCGGTTACTATGATTGTATTTCGCTTAGTGTAACTTTTTATTAAGCTCATTCTAATTAGTACTCTTGCAAAAAGTGGTAAGCCTCGTACGTGTTCCGTAAAGCAGCTTGACTTACTTAATTACGGCTGTATACACCTGATTCTCTTCTGCTCGCAGTGTGTCGCGGCTCAAAATGGACTTCACTTCATCGATGTGAGCCTCCAGAAAGTTGTCAGATTGTAATACCGATGCTCCCCAAGGATCGATTTTTCCCAAGAAAAAGTCTGCCAGATTGCTTACGGCAAATCTTGGGCATTTCGCCTGTTAAATAGTAAACACATTATCACAAAAAAAACACATGCTTCGTTTATTATAGCAGTTGAGTTGAAGACTTGATGTTGAAGTACGTTTTGGCGCTGTATCTGTACTGTTTAGCATGATAACGTGAACATGTTGTGCGCACTCCCAAACTCAACCTGACAGTCAACGAACGATACAGTTTCAGCAAAACGTCGGGCAGCAAAGTTGCAAAGATGCGAATTGTTGGTCTGCAGACTGTGTTAATCAGCAACATGTCAGTTAACAAAACTGCCGAAAAGCAAAAGGCAGGTCGAGGAAAGGACGTGTGACCGGTTTCGGGCACGTGCGCATCGGTTCGAGGTTTGAACCTGTATGCACTGCTGCGAGTAATTATTTCATTTTGCGCGCAACATCCGGTTACTGCGATATGGCGAAGTAAAATGCTCGCAAAGGCGCGGTGGTGTCTTGGCGTATTTTTACCGAAACTGTATTAAATACCATCGCAATTTTTTGAAACGTTGTTAAAAACTGCTTGTAGCTTCGAAGATGCTAAACCACAAATACAAAAATCGAGTACTGCATATCATATAAGGTCAGTATTCAATAATTACTTATTACACTGCCTAACAGCCATAATTATTAATTTTTAATTGTTATAGTAGCCAAAACTGAAACTTGCAGAAACGCCGCTTTTGCCAGCTGCTTAGCATACTTCAGAAAATTTGCAGTTTAAATGCAGTTGTTTTGTACCTGAAGATACCAACTAAAGCAGTTTTCTGGAGTGACGTTATCCATCAGGAACGCTCGACAGGCAGGCTGCACCCGAGGAATCCCGTATTTCTCCGCTGCAGATATATAGTGGAAAATGCCGTTGCACCATCAAACGGTCCTATTTGATCGTAATAAATATACCTATATTAAAAAGGATTATATGTCGCTTTGCCGCCATTACTGTAAATAATTTACAATACAGGTACCGTATATCTAGATCCGCAGAGTTTGAATGTATCTAGTGCCGCACTGGTAAGTTTTTCGGATTAATACATGCATTTTACCGACAACAGCACAGTTTTGACTCAGTTTTTTGCACCTTAATATGATCCTGAAGGTTTTTTCGTCGATGTCGGTAATCTGTATTAAGTCCCGTACGTCTTTAGCGTGACCATAAAGCATCCTCTCGAAGACTTTGCTTCCCATGGCCAGTAGAAACCTGGTAATTATAATATTAGCGATTATTCGGGCTCGTTTTTACTCCAGTGAATGGTTTTCACGGCACTCATCTCAAACGAATTATGTGAATTATGGATAACTACATAGCAAGAATTTTTAAGGGCATAATATATATTGTTCTTTCAGTGTAAAAATATTATCTCGCTGTTCAGTTTCATGTTATAATGCGGCAGATTGGCACATTATCGTAAAATGAATATCCATGCTTTCTGGCTGCGGCCTACCTGTGCGCTCGAATATCTACTATTGGTCCGCTAGGTTGTTCGGAATCCAAAGGAACACAGAATGCTACATCGCCAAATTTGTCATTCTCCAAAACATACTTGACTCTGTCTCCCATGGCCGAAAGCTCGCTTTGCCATCCCCAGAATGGTGGGTTCCCAGCCATTTTGAATATTGATGCCGTTTTCACAACATCGATTGCGCCAATCACATTTGCCGATAAAGCAGAATAACTGTGATTTTAATAGCAAAAACTTAATTTCAGGCACACAAATTTTATTTTCCAAATATAAAGACTGTTACCGCAATATCAACTAACTCGTTTAACTTAGCCGTAAAAGCATAACAAGAACTCTGAAATATAAATAGAGTCGATGATTGTTGATTAACAAGCAGTTTCATTACCGCAGACGGTCTGAATGTGAGCACAGTGAGATTCCGTTTAAGCGGTTTAGAGTACTTTGTACGGTTAATGCTCACGTTGCATCTGTTGTCGCTTACTCGCATTACAAACCGGTTTTAATGACTAGCTTTACGGCGGTTTAGTAATTTACCTCCGGCTGCCAGGTTATTTCTCAGACGTGTAGAAGCCATTACTCTGTATATGGACACAGCACGCCGAATATCTCTTTGAATAAATTCCCTCCTAATCACAGGCAGCGTTTATTATGCACCGCACAGTTCGTTCCCGTCGACCAGCGACATTTCAACCTTTTCAATTTTTAGTCACAATGTTTTATTGTTATGGTGTATACACGTGCTCCGCAACGAATCGACGAGCCGCGTCAAATTCAGCAGCATAAACTCTAACTCTTTCCGAAACGTCCGCTCTTTAACGAGCTCCGCCATATCGCTCTTCTGATCACGCGCCTGGTAGATTAGAATGAAGTAGGAGAGAATAGCACCCGTAACCTGAAAAGAAGTCAGCAGACGACGTCGAAACGGGTACAGAAACGGAAGTAACGCTTGTATCGTACCGTTATAAGATACTCTTTGCTAATGTTGAAGAATCCCCCGGCCGAAATGGCTGTTCTTTCTGACGCAGCGATTTCGTGATGGAAACGCGTACTTAATGCTGTTAGCGGCGAGTCGGGATATCCATCCCCGATTGCTTCAAGCGTTTTGCTGATACTTCGGACCTTTTAAAGAACTTTCACGGTAATCATTATTCTAAAAGATCTGCACAGTATTTCTTCAAAAACAGTTTAAAATGGAATTACTACTAAATTATGATTTAATTTTATGATGTCCAAAGATTTCAGTTAAGTATAATTTGAATTGCGCGCATGCAACACAATCGTTTACCTGTGCGTTACATCCAATAAAGATCACCAGCCTGACAAAAGCCATGATAACATTCGTACCGCCGGAATAATACATGCAGATTCGCACGTTTCCCTCGTCAGACTGCTGACGCAACGCAAACTCCACATTATCCTCATCATCGCCCTGTTGTGTGGGCATCCGCAGATTAAACGCAATAAACGATACAATCACCACCAAATCCTTCACGCAGCTCAACAGCATTAAACCGCTGAAAATCCCGTTAAGCTGCCGCAGCACGCCCATCACTTTGCGGAACTCCACTAACGCCGCCTTTTAACTGATACTCGTTGCATGTCTCCCGGATTGTCCGTAATCGGTAATTCACGTGCTTAAACGCTTTGGTGATTAACAGTACCAGCGTCAAAATAAACAGATGTGGCGCAATATTAGTGTGGCTCAGCAAAACATTGCCGACAATATTGACGATGCTCATCACGCTCACACTGTAACTGTCCATCTCCATCCACACTAACAATCCGTGTAACGTCTACCAGGAACTCGTACCTGGTGTTGAGGAGAATTGGGACAGTCAGCGCCGGACACAGTTCGGTCCATATTAAACTCGTCACCGCGAAGATTCTAATGCCAGAAAACGTTGAAGCAAATCATTTCGAAGTCAAATCGGCCTTCACATGTTTAAAATGATTGCAAAATGGAATACTTGATTTTCCAGTCATATCTGTATTTATATAGTACTATATACAGCTTTTGTAGGACCAGTTCTGGACTAACAGAAGCGCGAACTAATAAAATATAAGGATAGTGAAACGACAAAATGCAAATGAGCAAAATAATAAAAATTAAGGAAAATAATCTATTAAAAACTTTCCAGAGCATTAAAGAAAAGCGTTTCTTAAAAACGATTACAGATAGTTACAAGATTACGCAGTATGAAACCGTTACGAAAAACCAAACAAAAATCATAGGAAACCGTTTTGAAAAAAATCTAACCATCATCTTCAGAATGTACTTCCAGATCCTTTGAAATTAAAGGTCATTCTAAAAAAAACTAGAAACAGTAATTTCTGTACTTCAGAACAGGTATTCTAGAAACAGCTTTAAAAGCGTTTGAATTGTATCTCCACCTGATGAATCGTAGTGGTGGCGTCATCGGGGTTAACACGTCATCCAGATTGTGGGCCAACGTTTGAATCCGTTTGCTGTGTACGATCATGTAGATTAAAACGAAGGGGGCGTGCACCGTGAAGATGATACGCTCCGGTAGCATTACCATACTGAAGAAGTCCATCCGCCCCGATGATGTAGTACTCGACGGTAATCCACATGAAGAGATCCACGGCGGCGCAGAAGATGGATGCAGTCACGATAACGATGGAGTACGGCAAGAAGCACCGACCGAGCGCTGGCGGTGCATGCAGCAAATCGGCGAGAGGATAAAATCCGCATGTCCGCAGATAAAACAGGTAGAGTTTTAACGAACGCAGGGCCGGACTTTTCTTGTCCAGTTTGTCTGGGAGTTTCGCTGATGTGATAGAGGGAATTGCCGGCATTTTCGGGTTCTCTTCTCCGACTTGCAAAGTTGGTAACTATCGGCAAAAACGGAATGATGATGCCTTACATCCGCCAGCTATTATGTAACAATCAGAAAGAATTGAAGAGTCAGCAAAAACTTGTTGGTATTTAGTATTAAACACAGGGCTCGTGGGTGGCCATCAATGGCTTCCGGAGATTCTTCCCGCAAACGAGTTGAGTCAGCAATTATTGTGGTACATCGTTTTTAACGTGCCTGCTACCTGAGTTTGCACAGAAGATGAATCGAAGACGGAGACTGTGTGCTGGAATTGTCCTAAGTGGACGGTAAATAAGTCATAATTCAGGGAGAAATACGATATGCCCACAGAGTACATCAATGCAGAACGACTGCCACAACGCAGCGTTCACATAAGCGCGGAGCCGGTAATATCCAGCAGCAACGTCAGTAGATAAAGTCACAGACAAGTAACAAATGTAGCTTAAAATCGTTGTCTTTCGTGTTGTTGATTTGTCGACACATTTCGAAGGAATGTACAGGCTCACAAGCATTGGCTAGTGTAAATAGGTGCAGACGTAACGATGCATGTACTGGCTGATGCCGAATAAAAGACTTCTTGAGGGAAGTGGCCTGGCACATGGTACCAAATTCGTGTACATGCACGAAAACTTACACTTTCGCGCACTCCCAAATACAAGTTTGTTTCGGTTTATGACATTCTATTTGTATACATCTGACGTGAAAACCGTTTGTGTGCGCAACATCCGATTCGGGAGTTATGGCTGTTAGACAATTCTGGCTACAGAATGTCATAAACCGAAACAAAAATGTGTTTGGGAGTGCGCTAAAGTGAAAGTTTTCGCGCAAGCACACGAATTCGGCACCATATACCGGGCCACTTCCCTTAAAGTTAATAACGGTTAATTTCGCTGATATGGAAAATTTACGAAGAACTTGGCGGCACTCGAATTAAAAATCCAGCTAACCGAAACAAGCTTGCTAAACACCTGTGTATCATGGACAGCAGGATTCACTTGATATTTATATGACTTTTCCGGTAAAGTTTTAAGAAGATCTGACAACATTCCAACCTTTGTCACACGACAAAGCACTGATAATTTTTGTCCATTTTATTTAGCTCTCCGGATTTGACTTTCGCCAGTAATAACTGAATTGTAGAATGATACTCGTATAAAAAAATTGAAAAGAATTGATTCCGACTGCGCGATAGCGACAGCTCGACAGGATACAAAGCTCATGTACGCGAAATTGTACCGCTTCCTTCCCTTAAGCGCACTCAGCTGGAACAGTGTGCAGTGTGCAATTGCTTATGACCTTCATGCAGCACCCGTATCGCTTCCGCTCCACACTTCTCAATCAGCTCAACGCTGGCCACAGCACTGGTTTTCTCAGCAAACTGTCGCAACATCCTGAATAAGAAACACTCTGTTGTACAGCAACAATTTGCGTGTACCTCCCCAAAACAAGCACGCTCCATCTGCACTATGCTACAAATGCCTATACTGCACCCACTCGCACAGGTTGTAGTGCGCCATGGTGGCGTTGTTTGACGCTTGAGCCAGTGCAGTGTAGTCGGCATACATCAGGGCTTTCTGGGAGTCGGGGAGCTGCTTTTCGCAGTATGCGAGAGCGAGGTTGAAGCCGACAGCATGGAGTGACAGCTCGCATATTCGACTCTCCATCATCCACGTTTCTGCATCGTACCATCCACCGTTCCCAGTGAAGCGCTCCACCTCGGGATCGTCGGGACAGCGCTGCAGCACGCTGGCCAGGCAGTGCGCCAGTGCCGTGGCAGGGCTGCAATAATCCCGACCGCTTTAATTCAAAAACAGGAAGCACAGAGATTTACATGCGTACTCGATGTTCTTTGCAATGCGGACCTGTTCACAATATGGATTCGCGTGCCAGACCCTGAGGACACGGTATTCTCCGCGTTGCTCCGCGTTACAAAAATTTTTCAAGAATTTACTGCTTAACAATTTCTAGTTTTATACAAGCTTGCACACGAGATTAATATAGAATCATTTTTTTGCTGGGGAACAACGCAGAGAATACCGTGTCTTTGGTATGTCCAGAAAGCGAATCAATTTTGCGAAATGGTCTGAAACGCGAAAAACGTCGACGTATTGTGGGTGAGTCCCCCGGCAGTAGGTAGATGGCGTTGGACGGCGTTACCGCCGGGCTATGTGTGCATTTCACAATATTCGTATCTTTTCAACGGACCAATAGACCAGCAGCCCGAAACTGCAGTGGCAGTGCCGAGGGACAGTCGACGTTAACTTTGATTAAGTTTGGTTACCGGGAAAAACCGATTTTTTAAGCCTTGACGCAACAGACCGGTTTTTGAGCAGAAAATGTCGTATTATCTCTGACATGCTTGTGCTTTGTGAGAAGACAAAATCATTCGACTGCAATGAAAAGTGAACGTCGTCCGTGGCCGCACATTATCGATTGAGTACTAAGGTTATACTGAACCGTCTGGACTATGCCAGCCTGAGCTAGACCGCCTCAGTAATTGTCATTTTTTCCTAGCATTCTGTAAGCTGTCATTAAAATAATTTTCATACGGCGCACAGGCGCAGCAATACATACCGACAATGACTGTCCGCTTGTTCAGTGTTACTAACATTCTCCTGTCTCATAGGCCACGAGGCAGATGGTCGGTTCTGCAGTATCCCATAGGTCTCGTTCCGCAGTCGCCCGCATTTCTGCCATGCTGCACTGCATGGTTCGCTCCGTGCAACAACGGCCAGTGACAAGCACGTAACTATGATAAAAACACACAAACGAAACAGCATTATGAAAAATACGAAAGTTCTGGTAAATGAAAAAGTCAGAAATCATGTAGCAGTTTATAGGGAAGCTGCAACGCTGTTTAAATTAACTTTGGCGGTACGAGCTCAAAGTAATGATCCGCGCGATAGTGTTATCGAAGCGTTCATCTGCAAATGGTAACGAGAAGTTGTCGGAGATTTCAGTGTAATTTGCTGCAGTACTATCTGTTGAAAGTCGCACTTTGGAATATTCGCTTGTAAAATCGAAGCTATCTGATCTTCAATGAAATTAAAACTTTCCTGGTAACTAACGCTGATCCTTTATATGCCTTCCATCCGTTCCGCATACAGAACAGTAAAAAAAAATCGAAAAATGTGAAACGAAGGAAATTTAATTCCGCAGATTCCGACAACTGGATGTAGTTTTCCTTCGATGCTTGTATGATCCCTCGTTTAGTTACCGTAAAACCGACAGCAAAACAATGAGGACGAGATATGAAATAAGCGCATACGTTAAAACAGAACTCTTACGGTATATGATAACTGTAATGTGTCTGTGTGTTTCCCGTTTCGCTTATAAGGAAGCATGCTAAGTTAGCGTGAACGTTTTGGATATTCACAGTGCATGACGACCTGCTTATTTTATGTGATTTTTATTTTCACCAGAAAATTGTGCGTAACAATTTTAAACATATAATTTTCTGGTGAAAATGACAGTAAGTCGGGCAGAAACGAGCGAAAAATAGTAACTTCGTGAGCATCCCAGTAAAAGGCTTAAGAAAAGACCAGTTTTTGGCGCGAAAGTTGGGTTCGAAAAAAACTTTCAAAAACTTTAACATGCGCTACCGTATGGAAAAAGCTAAGAACCAACCACTGCTAAACGGACAGCCCATCAGTGTCTCAGCATCTCTTGCAGGTTGACGTGCATGAGATGTCGTAATAATACATTTCAAACTATGGTAGAAGACGTAAAGCCACTAAACTAATAATAGTAAGATATATTCTAATGTTTTTGAATTGGAAAAAGAAGATCATCTGCGCGTCTGATCACTTCGACCGCGTTACATTTCGGCCGAACAGGTTTACTCCGGCCAACGTTCATTTCGACCGTGGCTCACTTCGGCCAACACTCAATTCGCCCCCGCTCGTTTCGGCAACTGGACGTTTCGGCCGTCATAGCTTTTCTGGGGTTTCCTACGTTTTCTAGGTTTTCTCAGGTTTTTTGTTTTTTAGGTTGCTTAGGTTTTCTTAGGTTTTCTTTGATTTTCTTTGATTTTCTTATGTTTTAGATATTCTTAGGTTATCCATAGTGCTTTCGGATAAGAAGATTTCATTAATTTTTTATGTTTTCCTACAGCTTAACTTTAACGCTCAATGGCGCTAACCGGCTCGGGCAGAGCAAGACCTTCAGGAGAGCGCTCGCGCTTGCGAGCTGCCGCATACGATCTTCCATTGTAACTCTGCGTGAATGAATTCGCGTCCGATCACTTCGGCCGCGTTACATTTCGGCGCACATGCATTCAACCGCAGCTGTTCTGAGCTGAGAAGAGGAACAAACGCATCACGGAAGAGGGGACCTGTGGCGTTGAATGCTTTGAATTATTTCGTTTAATTTCAAAATAAATAAAAAGTGGCAGGCACCACAAATTCGCAGCCAGTACCAGCGGCTCAAGTGCTTAAAGATGTCAAGCTTAGAATGATTATGCGCTTCCATCCTGGGAAAATTTTCTTGTATTCGGTTACCCATTGCCCAATAGAAAGACAGAGAAATTTCGATGTCATATACATCCCAAGTCATTGGGCGATGAGGCCGCATTTGACTGGTCAGAAACAGCGTTTTGTTACTAAGCTGCACGGCAAGCCCATTCAAGGGACAGCTGCCGATGCAGCAGCTTGTTCAAAACAGCACTTGTTGTACTACATATTGTATACGGGTGTTAGTCGCCTGAAAATTTACTTTACTAAGTAAACCAGTAATACTCAGTAATACGACTCGTACTTTTTGCTCTCCAAAAACTTTGACCACGAAAAGATGTTTTGCCAAGGAAAATTACACGGCATGAGTGCAGGCAGAATGTGCAGTGCACAGACTTGCACATTAGTTTTGACTTTTGCGCATCATGATGTCAACAATAAACAACGCGACAAGCAGACAATCGCGCGAATCGCGAAGGTAACAAGCAATTTTCGATTAAAATCCCAAGAAATTCCAATAAAAATCATAGTAACTGAAATACTCCGGCGTACCAATTTTCCTTTGCTGTTTACTTACTTACTGTTTACTGTCAGCGCAAAATCTTTGCTTACTTTTACTGTTATTATTTTCAAAAACTTTTACTGTTCATTTACTGTTTGATATTAGGCTACGGTTTGCTAAGCAAATCCTTTTACTTTACTGTTTACTATTTACTAACCAGGGCACATAGGCCCCCTCCAAATTCAAAAAATTTTCATTTTTTGTAAAAAGGTAGTATACTATTAGAGTATGCGTAAAAAAATATTTTCAACTGCCATCGTCAAGGGGCGTGGCCAGAGAACAATTAAAAGTTCACAGAACCTGCGGCGGCTCGTGCCATTGTTGCCTGAGTAAAAAATTTTCAAAATGTTTTATCGATTAGCATTGTAAACAATAAGCTGTGCGAAAAATCTTTTTTCTACTAATAAGCAGATACGTGCTTCGTAAATCATAACAAATTTGCGAAAGTGTACGCTCGGCCAGCAATGGCCACGCCCCCTTGACGATGGCAACTGAAAATATTTTTTACGCATACTCTAATAGTATACTACCTTTTTACAAAAAATGAAGATTGTTTAAATTTGGAGGAGGCCAATGTGCCCTGGTAAGTAACACAACACTTATGTTCACAATAACGACTGCACAAATCACATAAGCCGATAAAGCCGAATAAGTGTGATTTTAACAGCAAAAATTTAATTTCAGGCACGCACTCGTATAGAGGAATTTTATTTTCCAAATACATAGACTGTTACCGGAACAGTACCTATTATTAAACAGTAAACAGCAGTATATAATAAATAAACCTAGACTGTTACAGTATTAAACATCTCGTTCAACTTAGCCGTAAAAGCACAAGAAGAACCTTTAAATCCAAGTCAGATTCTATAAAATATTTAATAGAGTCGATGATTCGATTATTAAGCAGTTGCACTTGCATTACCGCAGACTGTCTGAATGTGAGCACAGTGGGATTCCGTTTAAGCGGTTTAGAGCACTTTGTACGTTAATGCTCACGTTGCAACCGTGGTCGCTTACTCGCATCACAAGCCGGTTTAGTGACTACTGACTAGCGTTACAGCGGTTTAGCAATCTACGTCAGACTGCCAGGTTCTTTTCTGTACTCAGACTTGCAGAAACCATTATTGTATGCGCGCAGCAAGGCCGAACATCTCTATGCAAAAAATTCTTCCTAATCACACTCAGTGTTCCTTATACACCGCACAGTTCGTCTCCGTCGATCAGCGACATTTCAACCTTAAAGAACCTTTTCTATTCGTAGTCACCATGTTTTATTGTTATGGTGTATACACGCACTACGCAGCGAATCGACAAGGCGTGTCAAATTCTGCAGCATAAACTCTAACTCTTTCCGAAACGTTCGCTCTTTTACGAGATCCGCCATATCACTCTTCTGGTCACGCGCCTGATAGATCAGAATGAAGTATGATAGAATAGCACCCGTAACCTGAAAAAAAGTAAACAGCCGATGTCAAATCGCGTACGAGTACAGACGCGGAACTAACGCTTGCATGTACCGTTATAAGATACTCTTTGCTAATGGAGAAGAATCCTCCCGCCGAAATGGCTGTATTTTCGGAAGTAGCGATTTCGTGTTGAAAACGTGTACTTAGCAGCGGTAAGCGACGAGTCGGGATATCCATCACCGATCGCTTCCAGCGTTTTGCTGATACTTCGAACCTTTAAAAAAGTTGTACAGTAATAATTCTAAAAAGTCCGCACAGGTATTAGTTTTACGCACTTCAAAAACAGTTTAAACCGTGACTATTAGTGGAAACAGTTTAAACGGTGACTATTAGTGGATTACTCGTATTAAGTTAATTTTATTTTGGCTGTTTACGACTAGTAATTTATTTTAAGTATAATATAAAATTCCGCACATGCAGTAAAATCGTTTACCTGCGCGCTACATCCAATAAAGATCACCAGCCGGACAATGGCCATAATAACACTCGTACCGCCGGAATAATACATGTAGATACGCACGTTTCCCTCGTCCGACTGCTGACGCAGCGCGAACTCCACATTATCCTCATCATCGCCCTGTTGTGTGGGCATCCGCAGATTAAACGCAATAAACGAGACAATCACCACCAAATCCTTCACACAGCTGAACAGCACCAAACCGCTGAAAATCCCGTTAAACTGCCGCAGCACGCCCACCACTTTGCGGAACTCCGCTAACGCCGCCATTAACTGATACTCGTTGCATGTCTCCCGGATTGTCCGTAATCGGTGATTCACGTTTCTAAACGCTTTGGTGATTAGCAGAACCACCGTCATGATAAACATATGGGGTGCAATATTAGTGTGACTTAGCAGAACATTGCCGACAATATTAACGATACTCATCACGCCCACACTGTAACTGTCCATCTCCATCCATACTAACGATCCGCGCAGTGTCTCCAAGAACTCGTACGTGGTGGTGAGGAGAATCGGGACGGTCAAGGCCGGACACAGTTCGGTCCATATTAAGCTCGTCACCGCAAAGATTCTAATGCAGAAAAACGTCAAATCAAAATTAGTTCGGAATCAAATCGGTCCTCACGTGTTGAAAATGATGGCAAAATGGAAAAATTAACTTATGTACCTGTACAATATGCATATAATTAACGAAATGGCTGTGCGCCCCGACAAACCGGGCGCACAGAATTTGGCTTTGCGCCCCGATGTCCGGGCGCACAGAATTTAGCTTTGCGCCCCGATATTCGGGCGCACAAAATTTTTGCATAAATGAAATACTGCGCTATTAAGAGCACGTTTTCTTATTCTCTTCTTTGTTCGTAGCCAGCATCAGTTGCAGAAAACTGAAATCGAAGATGCGCGCGGCACTAGTTAAAAAAATGAATGGTAAATCAGCGGTACTAATTGAAAGAAATGAATGGTAAACCAGCGGCATTCTCCTCTAATTCGGCCTTTATCGGACACTTCAAATCTATTCGGAGCTGTGCTGCTTCCTTCTGCGTGAGAATGGTTGGCGTTTTCGGCGGCGATGTGACTTCATGGTTAAATACGCCGCGTTTTTTCGGAGTGTTTGTAATTTTTTCTTCTTCGATGATTTGCTTAAGCCGAAAGTTTTAAGAACGCTTGTCGCGCAGTGTATGTATTTTTGATTTGTTTATGCAGTTAAACATTGTTTCCATGACAAAAACAAGTCGACGTACAGCCCTGCTACGCCAAGTTGGGACAGTTCTTCCAAAAATATACCACAAGTCATCCGTTAATAAATATGAACTTATTGAATGTTTTCCTGGTATCCTGATGTGTTCCACATCTTTTCCAGCCAAACCTTGTGGAATGAGAGCGTGCTTTGAATTACGGTGAGACAAAGTTCAGACCAGACCGGTTTAAAAAAGCGACTTGACCCATCTACCGCGGTAGTCATTGCCTCTTTTAGAATTTTTAAAAATTCTGTTGATGCTGTAATCCAAAAGCAATCACTTTACGTTGTTGACTATTCAATGCGCTTGAGGAATATCCCAAACCCTCACCGATTTCGACCAAGCTTACGTGGCCTTTGCAGCTTGACCGCAAGCACTACTGAATCAAAGGTGTACTTTCTTCCTACACTCGCCGTACAGCCATAAGGTGTCCGAAATAACTATCTTCGATAGAATTTCGTTTAGAAGGAACTAAATGTCGTTTCAAGCTCTTTCGTTTACAGGTTGTAGTCGCTACGTTCCGTTCCGAAGCCTTTAAACAACAGACATAGCTTTTTTTTGGTTCCAGCTTTACCGGGCTTTTCTGTTATCTGTTTGGCACTATTATCTTCAAGTCTTTGTAGTAGATATCCGTTGAAACATTAAAATCGTTTGGTGTAGTCAATGTGTCATCCTTGGAAACTATCATTTCAAAGTGTATAGGTCTTTGCCGCTAAGCAACCGTAATCTTCGGCAGGCATCGTTTAGCATGCAAGTCTATGGGAGAAAAAATAACTTTCGAAGTAACAACTAGCCGAAATCGCTCAAAGCTTCTGCGCCAACCCGAAACGGACACCTTTTGGGTCACTCAATACTTTTCAAAAAAGTCCACGAAAATGGATCTGTTGGTTGATTTTGTAGGGAGCAATTTATAAGCCTTCCAAAAATGACCCCTACCCCACCCCTTAAATCATAGCTCAGCTCGCTCCAGATATAATATAATGTAACTATGTTGATAACGTTGGATCCGCAAGAAAAAGTTGCACAAGAAAAGTGCAAGGCTAAAAACAGAAGAACACTGGAAAATGTTCCCTAATTCACTTTACATAACTGTCCCAACTTGGCATAGCAGGGCTGTACATTCGACGTTACTCCATTCTAGAGTATGCACTAGTAACAAATAACTATAGTACTGTATGTTCGTAACACGACTGCATTGAATCTTCCTGTACTTTCGGAGATTTCATTCGGCAAAAATAAAAAACGGGGCGCAAAGCTAAATTCTGTGCGCCCGGACATCGGGGCGCAAAGCTAAATTCTGTGCGCCCGGACGTCGGGGCGCAAAGCCAAAATCTATGCGCCCGGTTTGTCGGGGCGCATAGCAGTCACCTATAATTAAAGCATTAGTATAATCGATTCTGAACAAACAAAATCACGGAATAATAAATATAAGAATAACGAATAAACAAAAGACAAAGCTGCAAAATAATAAAAATTAAGGAAACCAATTTGTTTGAAATTTTTAGTTTCTTTAAAAAATAACAGAAGGTTAAAAATGTTGCAGAGTGTGCACCCATTATAAAAATTTTAAAGCTTTACAAAGCCGTTTTAAAAAAATTTTCATCATCATCTTTAAAGTTTCGAAATGTACATCCATACCATTAGAAATGAAGTGGAATTACAAAAACTAAAAAACCAGTAAGTCAGCTTTAAAGCTTTTCAACTGTATAAACTGTAGCTTTTAAACTTTTAAAGCTTCTCCACCTGATTGACCGCAGCGGTGGCTCCATCGGGGTTAACACATCATCCAGGCTGTGGACCAGTCCTTGGATGCGCTTGCTGTGGACGATCATGTAGGTGAAAGCGATTGGGGCGTGCAGCGCAAAGAGGATACGTTCCGGCAACATGACCATGCTGAAGAATTCCATCCGCACAATGACGTAGTACTCCACAGTAATCCACATGAAGAGATCCACGACGGCGCAGAAGAAGGATGCCGTCACGATAATGATGGAGTACGGCAAGAAACACCGACCGAATGTTGGCGGTGTATACAGCAAATCGGCGAGAGGATAAAATCCGCATGTCCGCAGATAACATAGATAGAATTTCAACAAATGTAATACCGGACTTTTCTTGTCCGGTTTGTCTGGACGTTTTGCTGAAGTAATGGAGGGAATTGCCGGCATTTTTGGCTCTGTTGAGGCTACTGCAAAATATAATATCTATCGGAATGATGGTGCCTTACGTCCGCCGGCTGTTATGTAACAATCAGGAAGTATCGCCGAGTCAGCAAGAACGTGTTCGTGTTTGGTATTGAGCACAGCCTGCACAGGGATCGCGGATGGCCACCAATGGCTTCCGGAGATTCTTCCCGCCGACGTGTTTGAGTCAGCAGTTAGTTGGTACATCGTGTTTAATGTGCCTGCTCCCTGAGTTTGCACAGAGATGAATCGAAGAGGATGCTCTGTGTTGGAACTGTATTAAGTGGACGGTAAATAAGCCATTATCCCAGGGAGAAATACGATATGCCTACATCAATGCAGTACAACTACCGACAGTTTACTTATTGTTTGAATAAGCCGATTATAAGCGCTCGTACGGAGCCGGCAGTAATTTCAGACGTAGATATCTGTAAAGTCACAGAGAAATAACAGATTTACACTAGCTTAAAAAATCTTGTTCCTTCCTTGCTGTTAATTGTCAACACACTTTGAAAAAATGTACACATACAGTCTACAGATTCATAATCGTTAAGGCAAATAATTCACAACTGCGCTGATCTAGAAAACTTTTACGAAGAGCTTGGCGACAATAAGAAATCTAATCAAAGCGAGCTTGCTAAACACGTATCCTGGACAACAGAAAATACTTTGTATTTATACTTTGATTTTTGCGGTGAAGTTTTTCACAGATCGGATAATAATCTGACCTGTGTTACACGACAAAGCACTTAAAATTTTTGCCAATTTTATTTTACCGTATCTCTCCGGTCATAAACGGTCCTCAGACCTATCTCCTCAAAAATTAATTACTAGATGGTAGACATAAAGAACCCAAAACATTTAAAACGCGCACCAACTGATTGCATGCAAGTGCAAGCTGACTGCATGAAAGTGCAAGCTCGAAAAGGCAAAAGGTCCAGATACGGGAAGTTGAACTACGCTGTCTCTCTTAAGGGTACTCGATCAGCTGGAACAGTGGGCCGTGTATAATTGTTTATGACCGTCATGCAGCACCCGCACCACCTCCGCTCCGCATTTCTGTATCAGCACGCGGGCCGCAGCACTCGTTTTCTCAGTTAACAGCTGCAATTTCCTAAATAAGAAATACTGTTGTACACCAACAGCAAGTGTGCACCACCACATAGCAGACATGATCTATCTGAACTGCGCTGCACAAATGTCAACTGCACGTACTCACACATGTTGTGGCGCGCCATGGAGGCGTTGTTTGACGCTTGGGCCAGTGCATTATCGTCGACATAGAGCAGGGATTGTTGGGATTCGGGGAGCTGTTTTCCGCAGTGCTCGAGAGCGAGGTTGAAACCCACAGCATGGAGCGACAGGTTGCAGATTCGGCTCTCCAGCAACCACGTTTCCGCGTCGTACCATCCACCGTTTGCTGCGTAACGCTGCACCTTTGGATCGTCGGGACAGCGCTGCAGCACGCTGGCTAGGCAGCTTGCCAGTGCAGCGGCAGGGCTGCAACAAATCCCGACTGTTAATTTACAAAAAAGGGAGGCATGAAGCGTAACATGCGAACTTCTATCTCTACTGTGACTGAGTGCTCTTGAAGTACGAGAGTTATAATATATGACATCGGGCGGGAAGCCGGTACGTTGCGTAAAAGAAACGAACGTGTAAGAAACATATATTTTATGCAGAGAGTACTAGAGTTCATGATATTAATTCACGGTAAACTAATTGATATATGTAGAAGGTAGTTCACTACATAGTGTACAAACGTTTGCGGGAAGTATAAATGTCTGAACACGCATTTATATTTTCATAAGCAGCGTAGCATTGCTTCGTTCAGAAAATTCAGGCAGAATTGCTGTTGTAATGGTTCATCGTGCTAATAACTGTGAGATGCGGCCACATGAACACTAGGTTTCTGCTACCTTGACCTACAACTAAAGCCTCGTGAGCAGGAAACAACATTGTAACTACCGAACGAGTGCACAGATGCGCATATGTGGATGTCGAATACATATGTTCATGGTAATTTTTAAGCACAAGGTTCAATCTAGGTGACCACATGGCCCTTTATGTGAGGACATTTTGTGCTAGGTGCGCACAAGTTTTCAGGCCCTGAGTCTGTCGTTAAAACGATTTTCATACGGCGTAGTAATACATACCGACAATGGCTGCTCGCTTGCTCAGTGTTATTCGCATTGGCCTGCCTCATATCCCACGATACAAATGGCGTGCTTTTCGGTAACCCATAGGTCTCGTTCTGCAGTTGCCCGCATTTCTGCCACGTTGTACTGCAGGGTTCGCTCTGGGTCCCGACAACGACCAACGGCAAGCAGGTTGCGGCGATAAGAAGACACAAACGAAATGGCATCATTAAAAAGACGAGTAAGTTCCGGTAAATGATCCAGTCAGAAGTTATGCAGCAGTTCGTAACGCGGCGACAACGCATTTAACTTTATTACAGCGATTTAAATGAAGCCAGTTACGCTTACGGTACGCACAATATTGTGTATCCGCGCGACATTGCTACCGTTACCCGAAGCGTTTATCATCAGTTAGTAGTGAGACAGTGAGAAGCATGTGTAGCTTTATTATCGGAGTATTTATCACGAGTTGGTAGTGAGAAACTTGCAGCTTTTTCATCGGAATTTTGTTCAGTAATATGTGGTGACAAATCGCCCTTTGGAACGATTGCAGCTGGCGCTATCTGATTTTCAGGGAAACAAAAAAATGCCTAAGTAGTAGAAATAAAGCTGATGCAGTCCAAGCTCTTTAAGAAAAACGCAGAACTTCGAAAAACCACACCGCTGATTAACGGAAATCCAAACATCGCAATACTTTTTGTCACTGGTGCGTGGCGGTGACGTCAGCATTTAGCGTTTGTAGCCGGCAGAGAGGTGGATAGTGTATGTCCAATAAAATCACATCCACTTTTCTGCCTAAGGTCGGCAGATTGGTGGATGAGCCGTCCACCTTTTTCTGAAGATCATCCACCTTTCTGCCGGAGTAAATCCACCTTTTCTTAAAGGTCATCCACCTTTTCTCGTAAAGGTCATCTACCTTTTTTCGTAAAGGCCTATTATTTGTGGTGAAAACATTTGGTTTAGCGGAACAGAACGGATAAATAATATTGTCAGATGAAAGTTATACTCTATACAGCAGTGTGTACGTAGTGTTGTTGACCTACTGTGAATGTATGATCCGCTATAATTAATAAACATGCCAGCTAAATCTTTATTAAAGGAATAAAGAAGCATCTCTGCACTCTGCAGCAGTGATTTTGCTCACAGAAAGAGTCAGCAGCGTATCTAGTTACTCGAAGCTCAGGCAGAGCTAAAAGATTACGGATTCCCTTTTCCTTTTGCTTCCCGCAGATCGTAGTTATTCGAACAATAGCACATTACTTACTATTCAAAATAATTTTGCACAAAGCGCAACAAGGTACTATATTACCTGATCGTTAAAAGTACAAAAACGCTATGTAATCGTAGCAGAGTACACACGCTCCACAGCAGAGCCAAAACCACATAAACACATCACGTCTTCCAGCTCCAGAAATCCAATACTAACCATTTTCCAGCGATATGGAAGCCCGCGCTCGTGCAACGATATGGTTAACAATCACCGTTAGTATACGCATCTAGCGTGATCTACTTAGGAATAATCGCGTGCCAGGAATAATTATGCTATAACTTATAGCAAGGTACTGTAATACATTACAACAGACTGCACAGTACTGTAATCCCAGTACTAGTACTTAAGTACAGTAACTGTAGTCCATTGCTGCCATGGTTACAGACTTACAGTGAGCCAACCAGAACAGTTACTAACGCCCTACAATATACAAGTACTTACTTGCTGTAGTGATCACATGCTTACTTTATTACCTTGATGATTCTAATTTCATTCGTTGGACTTTATAGGGGCTACGCTGTATACTTATGCAACAACAACCAAAAGAACCTTGAATTGCGAGATGAGATCGCTTCAAGCGGCGATGCTGATATTAAATTTTAAGTGCTTACTGTCAGTATACAAGCACTGTAGCTGTCTCTTGCAAATTAAGTCGTGCCAAATTACCAGAGCAATTTTTGATTCTGAAATCTTATAAAAATATAATTAGTCAGTTTTACCTTAAGAGGCACCTTGTTCAGCCACCGCAATTATCCGCTGGATCGATCTACGATGTCGGCGTGTAGAAAAAGGGCGATGGCGAAAGTGTTCGTGTGTTCAGCACGCAGCTGGTGTTTGCTGCTGCAACTACAATTCTGTGCGGTGCTTGCGGCATCACCTCAAAGAGTGCCATCAGTCAACAGTAGTGACTCAATACACCGAAAGGCAGGCCGAAGCCACCCTGACCGTGAGTACCATATGTTGTTGCTTACGTACACTAAATATGTACTCTTTTACAATTACAAAATTTGTAATTACGTCACCCGTTAATAATTATGCTACTTAAATTTAATTTAAATAGCATAATTGTTAACGGGTGACGTTATCACGGGCGTATACGTACTAAACGGCAATCGGTGTTCGGGACATATCTCTACCTGAGTGTAACGCCCGTTATGTCGGTACCTGTTTCAACCCTCCGGCAATAATATCATCTTCTGCCTGTTTTTTGCTCAGTTTTTCAGCAGTAACGCTTTAGACTAACTGATATGCAGTCATTTTTGAAAGGTCACGGATGACCGGAAAATTAGCTTTTACATGCGAATTCTCTAAGTCACCGTTTTGGCTTAAGGGTTACCGCTTTAGTCGTGGTGCAGAGGATGGGGATAAACCTCCGGACTTATTTGCAGCTTGCAAGGCATGAGCGTATGTGATCGCGGGCAAAGTTTAGGTGGACGTATTTTAATCACTCCTCCTGACGTTTTGGTCGGTTACACAGGTACCCTAACAAGCCAGCATGCATCAGCCGGGCTTATGCAGCCCCCGCAGTGGTGATGGCTGACATACACACCTTTGTACGAATGGCTTTGCAGTGCGTGACTAGCTTAAATTTACGGCGGTCAATTTTGGGCGGTCAAATCATAATACGTAATCATCGTACGTAATCATCAGTCGTCACGTTATCAACAGTACTACATCCCGCTCATGGAGACAAGTTTTGCTTGCAGAGAAATACCTATATCATAAAAAAGTGCCACTTGTACTGTCTGTATATTAGTGCGACACAGCCTTACGCGGCTGTAGTCGTTGGTCAGTCAGCCCGCATAATAATTTCCCTTTTAGGATCTACTCTCGGTTTTGCTTATCAATCTTTTAAAGTGTATTTAACACTCATCTTTGGGAAAAAAACTCTCGACTATACGAGTAGACGGAGTGGTCAAGAGTAGTCAAGAGCTATTTGTACAAAAGGCCTTATACTGTGATAAGCCCGATCATATTGATGTACATAAATGTAACCCTCTTACTTGTAGTGAACGACATATTCGCGGAGGCGATGCTGAACAGCCGCCAAGAGGACCGAATCATTTTGCCGCAACTAGCTCCGAGCCAAGACGTGATGGACAGTCTGGTGTACCGGCCGCGACTTGGAGAAGATGCGATTTTCCGGTGCATTGTGCCAGCCGACATTGACTGGCGCGAAGTGGTCTGGTTGCATCAGGACCGTCCGGTTTTTCAAGCAGGACGGCCACTGCTGCTGGAGGACACCACGGGGCAGGCCTACAACTTCAGCCGAGAGAACCGCACCCTCATCCTCCAGATTTACAACGTTACTATGGGTTCTGGAGGATCCGTGCAATGCGTCGTCGCACCACCCGCTCGTGCCGACTCGCCCCGCCGCGTCCTGCAGCGCTACATGCTGCTGCCGCTAATTACGCATCACCGCGACGTCTTCTTCTACGAGGAGCACGATACTTCCTTCGTGAATGCCGCCGTGGGCGACCGCGTTACACTTGGGTGTACTATCCGCCTTCCCCTACCGCCAGGAATTTACAATAATCTGCACAACCACCTGATCTGGCGCCAGAATGGCCGCATCATCATCGGGCCCCAGGATGCGCCGTACGGGTCTCTGATGCCCAGCACGAGACCCATCCACAGTACACTGCACACGCCCCCTCCCAACCGCCCCGGCCAGCTGGCCAGTTGTATCTTCAACTCTCGCAGTTAAATTGAACGATACGGAAGATGTGCAGTGCTTGTTCCGTCCGCATCAGGGTCTTCACGAGTGGATTATCTACACGAGGACGATGTGGGTTTTTTCCCAACACTGACATCTTGTAGCGATACTGAAAGCGATGCCGATCGACGACAGACACTATGCCTTTACTTTAAATACTACCGCCGCGAGGAGCAAGACGAGTTTTTATTACAAGGTTTCGGGTTAACGCATTATGATATGTACCCAACCGTGGCGGCTGCGGGTAAACGCCTCGGTGGTCTTCCAGTGGCATAAAGCACGAAAGCACGGCAGCCGGCTGCTGTCCATCGGTGGCGGTGCTGTAATGCGGTATCTAGTAATTCGGTATGACAAGTTGTCGAAGCGTTTCGATAGCTTGATATGTATGCCAGTTGAAAGGAAAATGTTTTGGAATTGTTACAAAGATTATTTCTGCTGACACTTTCACATTGTACTCTGTTCTCTTAAGTCGTACGTTGATCCACTTCTACTCTAACGTACTTCATCTACTTTTAGTTTTCTTATCGTGCAATTCCTGTAGGAGCATAAAGCGGTCAGTTTAAGCAAACACCGCAGTAATTTCAGCAACCCAGGGGTATCGTTCCGCAGTCGCCCACAAATCTGCCATGCTGCAATAAGGGGACTCAAACATGCTTCACAGTACACGCGGGACCCGGCTCTGTTTGCACTAGCCATTTCTAGCCATTTCAACTCAGCGGGCCCGGTACCGAAAATTAACGCATTTTGTTCTTTATGTTAAAAGATGCTAAATTAATAAGAAGAAAGTTACAGAGCCTTTCGTCCAATGGTAGAGCGGAGACGGAACCAAAATTCAAAAGATCTCATCCTTTTGAGTTATAGAGCCGCTTGTAAAGAATGTCTAAGACTTTGAGTACCCTTACTGCAGAAAGACGTTTCTAGTTAGTAAAGTCAAGCAAAGCTAGGGCAAACTTACTTGATAATTCGAATTTCCTAACAGAACTCAATACTGCGGTAGCAAGCCAATTCTCTGACCTTCGTTTGCTTCCCGACAATTTGCTGACCGACAAGTCGCTTATCGAATATTTTGCTGCCCGACGGTTTGTTGAAACTATTTTGTTGCTGACATCTTGCTTATCGGTCTGGTTCTTAGATTTGTGTGGATGACCTTCGTTGACGATCCACCATCCACCCGTCCACATTCCTGCCGGCTACAGCCCATAGCCGTCTGTGTGGTACAACTTATGTGCAGTTGGTGCCCAGAGGCATTTCTTATAATTGTCTTAGGGAAACTGGAATGTGCAGCACGAATTTGTTTGCCTACAGTAGTACGAAAATTATTGCTATTTCAATCGTATGTTTCTGACTCCGAGCGTCCGGTTCTGCTGATGCATACCTTATGTAGTTTTATATTACGGCGGCTGCGTCCGTCACATACTCTCGTTCAACATGATTTCATTATTGCCTAACGCAACGCGATAATTAAAAGCGGGTTTTCTCAACAGAAAGTTAAAGAGTTAAAAAAATAGAATGCCAGATACAAAATACCCACTTCTTTGTAAAACTTTTAATATTTTTTGAAAATATCGAAGTACCCATCTAATTTTGTACGAATGCCGTGAAAAAAGTACAGGTAGTGCAGATTAATATTCGATGACATTGTTTAGCGGCGTTCACTTTATCGGAGATTTTATGCTGCAAGACTAGGCACTTCTTTGAATTCGCACCAAATACAGCGCATCAAATCTGCAACGTCATTATCGCTTTGCAATTTTGGGCACATCGAAATTTTGCTTACTGCGATCCTGCTGCAAAGGTCACTCGCTCCACCTGACGTTTCGGTCGGTTACACAGGCACCTCCACTTAAAGCCATCCCGCAGAATTTCCTTTACCATTATAGCCACCTTCCGTTACCCTATTAAGAGCTGCGCTCTGATATACCAATATATACAGTAGTTTCATTTTCTTAGTTAGTTCTCCTAGTTAGTGTCCTGGTTAGTTCAGTAGATTGTCCGTAGTACCATACGAACAGAACCATTCTTTAAGCCACTGCCCAACTACCAAAAAACTAGTGATGTGCTACTAAATAAAACTAAATAAATGCTATTTAATTAGTAAAAGCTTCCCTAAAATTAAATGTGTAGTAAACAGTAACGTTTTACAGGTAAAATTAGTAAAAGTAAGTAAGTATTCAGCTACAATAGTAAATAGTAAGTAAATAGTAAGATTTTGCTTTCACTAAATAAAAGATATTTACTAATTTATTTACTAATCGCATTTTAGCAAATAACCAGAAGACTCGTTGCTGTACAGTACTGGGGCAGGTTCATCATTAACGGTGTTGCACACTAAAGTTGGTGCCTTAACAGACGGTGGTATTGCTGTTCACGTAAACGCAATGTACCGCCAACCCGAAACTGCGGTTAGGTTACGTATAATCTTAGGAATTTGAAATGCAGCAGCATGGCAAGCTGATTGTGCAGCACAGTTGTACTGCTTGATTTTGCGCCTTTACAGTCCGTAGATTCGCATAAAGCCATAAAGTATAGTATATTTGATTCCTTCATGAAAAGCGCAAGCGTCCCAGTTCTTATAACAGTGAATTAAAAATTGAAATAAATTTATTTAGTATAATTAGTAAGTAATTGGTTGGGAAAAATGGAAATAGTAAGTAATAGTAAGTATGCGAAAAAGTTTGGGGTTAATAGTAAGTAATAGTAAGTAAAAGTTTCGGACGATTAGTAAATAGTAAGTAAGGTTGCAGGAAACTGTAGTAGCACATCACTACAAAAAACAGTCACACGATAAAACGGAGCAAACAGCCGGCACGGATAAAGCTCTCAAAATCAAACTTGAGCTACTGCGGCGCCTGCGCGAAAAGGCAGCTCCTTGCTGTAATTATTCGTAGAGGTTGTACGCCGCGTAAAATGGCCAAACTTTTGTCGACAATCCCACAAAATAATATTTTCTCTTTGCTATATATGATATTTAAACAATCGGCAAGAAAACTAAGTACACAACCGGCGACAATTTAAAAAAAATTTTTAATTAAGTTTTTCGTGAGTTCGTTTCTTAAAAAGTACCTCGAGCATTAAATAATTACTATATTTTACGAAGGAGCCGATTGGGCGTCGATCGGTGATGGCAAGCTGGTATAAAGCCGGTGACGGCCGCCGTGTGCATCGGACCGTACATGGTTTTCGAGTCCATTGGATCGCCTTCGAAAAATAAGGATCACTTACCATTTAATTCAGAGTATAATTTCGTTTCTAATTTATTTTTTTGTTCCAACGTAATTTGAAAGGCACTAATAACATTTAATTAATTAGTAATTAGTTTAATATTTTAAATTATAATGCAGTAAAGCAGTGATGCGCGATCTGCAGGTTATACAGATATACATAATTAAATTAGAACAAGCTGAGCACGGATGAATATTGGCTTGCGACTATCTCAGATTACAATATGTTGCAACATGGTTAGAACATAAGCTGTTTCCCTGGAAATTTGCAAATTAATAAGCACACGAGCGCGAACCCGCCCATGTTAGCCCAAAGGCATTCATGGTAACAAGCTTCTGAGTGACCACTGAACTTGAGGTTTTGCAATTTGCCAACGACGATTGGTCTTAGAACACCCCGATCGGTAGGTTTCTAAAGTATTTTAAAACAGGAAAATTGGATGAGTAGAAGCTGAGATCACCGGCGCCAAAGGAGAGGGGCCGAAATCCTGGCACAGATAGTTAGTATTCATATAACAACATTCGATTTTGTATTTATGTAATTACACAATTACTGTATTTCTTTAACGACGCCCAACTTATGCATCTAGCCGTGGAGGGTTTCCGGGTCCAGTGGGCTGCCTATAATTAACGTCATGTCTACGCGCGAGAGTTTTTTGGCGCCACTATTTATGAAAACAATTACGTAATACATTTCGACATAATTTCACCTCTAGAGTTGTTTATATTGCATTATGATTGTCGCATCAGTCAATTTGCAATCACGTCAGTAACACCGCAGTCGTTCGGAAACCGGTAGGCATTCCCAACCGGCGAATTATAGGCAGTACATCATCTGCCGTTACTACAACATTATTTTTGGTCACAGAAGTTTTGCTTCGGGCGTTTCTTCCCTGTACTCGAGGAGGAGGTGTCAGTGCTCCTGTTTGTATTTTATCCAAGAACCACTGCCGAAAATCCTCGTCCCGGACGTAATTTGCGCTCTGGATCTGTTTCCCCTACAGAAGGTCATACGCGTACGCAAAAGAGTATAGCAAGCAGTTGTTACTGCCGGGAGACTGGGACCCGCACGCATAGCGGGTGTTTCTCCTGGACGCGGTGGACTGTGGGGTATCCGGGCAACCGTTCGGCCTGATCCACGCAAAGCTGTTTTCACAGTCAGAAAAACCTTTCTATTCGGTTTGTCGTGTTGTTGCCAAACGTCCGGAGCTCACGCCGCTTTGACATGGACCACATCGCCGCATCCGGTGCCCAGTTTTTCGTGATGACAGTGCCGGCTGTCCCGCTCGACCGACGTGAAGCGTTAACAGTGCTCGCAATAATCCTCGGTGGCACGCGACTGAGGATTAGCTGCTCCACGGTCTTCTCCTCCGTGTCGGACAGCCGTCTCCTTTCCGGGAAGTGCTGTGCTATCGCCTGCAACAACTCGTGATTGTGGTCTTCTGCAGCCGGCACGTGGATGACTTCCAACATTCCGTTGACCAGCTTCAGACGGATAGCTGCTTGACAATCGCTCTTCAGAGTGGTAGTGATAGACTTTTCGTCGGAAGTGAGCCTCGCCGATGAGGACGATACACGCCGGCTTTCTGCATACCAGTTTCACTGAACTGTACGGGAAGGTGTCGTGCACTGGGTGCGTTTTCGAGGCCTTTGCATTGCCACCGGGATTTATGAAGACCTGATGAGTGGATTCGCTCCATTCTTCGACTGCACGTAACGCCGCCGGGTAGGATTCGAATTTACAGGTTGTCATGACATGACAAATATGATAATCTACATGTCATGACATGACAAATATGATAATCTACAAAGTTTTAAGGTAAATTATATTTTGTTATTTTCAATTTCGTTCCGCCCGAAAACTCTCGCGCGTAGCCAAAACTCATAGCGCGAGATGCTCTCGCGCGTAGCCATTTCGTATAATTATATGAATACTAAACATCTCTTGCAGGTGTTTGGCCTCTCCTGCTAGACCGCGGTAATCTCAACTTCTACTCATCCGATTTTCCTGCTTCAAAATGTTCTAAGAACCTCTCGGTCTGGCGGGTGATCTAAAACTAATCGTTCTTTGCTAAATTTAGAACCTCAAGCCCAGGGGTCACTCAAAAGCTTGTTACCATGGATGCCATAGGCCTAACATGGGCTGGTCTGTGTCAAGGGTATTAAATTAGAACCAAGAACAGCTTTGGCATCGCCTCTGCGTTTCTCGTGTTTTATCTACATCCGTAACCTCTTATACATGCTAAGCAGACGACCACGATGATCGGGCGAACGGATGGTCCGATTTTGACGCGGTAAAGTGCGCCGGAATCGTCGCAACGTCGCGA